CCGGCGGGCCCAGTATTCCCGGCGGGCTCAGCATTCCCGGCGGGCCCGTGCGCCGGAGAAACCGTTACCTGGGTGTGTCTGCCCCTCCCTGGGATGCGTCAGCGCCGTTCGGTGCTGGGGAGACGCCGTGAGACTTCATCTCCCCGGGGCTCCTGCCTCGCTCCCGGGTTCCTGACCGCTGGAACGCTGACGTGAGCAAGGGAACGCCTTTGAGCTCAGGCTGTGGGGAGGAAGAGGGGAGAGGAAGGCTCCTCCAAGCCCCTGTGCGTGGGGAGTGTCCCTGGCAAGCTGGGGGGGTTGGTGTGATGTGCTGCTCGGGGGGGGGAAGGGAGGAGGAGCCCTTCTGAGAAGCAAATAGAAAACGGTGGCATCTCACCTTTTTGTCCATCCCATGTCTTCTCCTGACCCTGACTTCCCTGCTGTTGTTCTGTCCCAACAGGATGTTGGCTTCCAGGGTGTTCAGCCTGGTTGGGAAGAGAGCCCTTTCCACCTCCCTCTGCCTGAGGGCTCACGGGCACGGTGGGTGCAAGAGTGGGGGTGGTTGGTGAGGGTGATGGGGCAGGAGGAAGAAGGACACAAGAAGCTGCTGCTGGGGGGCAGGCAGGGCTGGCTGCTGCTGGGGGGTGGCAGGAGCTGGGGACACCTGGAAGCAGCCCCTGTTCTTAGTGCTCTCCCTTGTCCTTCCTCCCTGCTGCACCTGGAAGTCTTTTTTTTCCTTCCTGGATTCCTCTCATCACCTTCTAGACCTTATTTTTCTTCTTTGGTCCTGTGAAGCAGTAAGAGCTGTGTGTGCAGGAGCTGGAAGCATGAAGAGGGGTGTCTCTTCTCTCCCCCCCCTGCAGCTGGTGTGGTGAAAGCTGAGGATTTCAGCCTCCCAGCCTACATGGACCGGCGGGACGTGCCCCTGCCCGAGGTGGCCTTTGTGAGGGACCTCTCTGCCCAGCAGAAGGCTCTGAAGGAGAAGGAAAAGGCCTCTTGGACCGCCCTGTCTGTGGATGAGAAGGTGGAATGTAGGTAGAGGGGGCTCCACGTGACCTCCCACTGGTGCCACCTCGTTTGTCCCACGTTCATTTGACTAGAAATCAGCCACGGGTTGGGGGGTTCAGGTTAATCCCTGCTCTTCCACTGCATCCCTGCTCTTCCATGGGGGATGCAGGTTGATCCCTGCTCTTCCCAAGGGCTCTGGAGTGGAGCTGGTTGGAAGTTTTGCTAAATATGCTGGAGCTCCAGGTGTGGAGCTCTGTGATTTGTGTTCCTGGAAGCCCTGGTGCTGTTGCACAAAGCCCAGAGCTCCTGCCATGGGGTCTGTTCTGTGCCCAAGATCAAGTTCAGCAATTCCTTCCTTTTCCAGAAGAATAATGGTATTAGTTCCCTGATTCCCATCTGCTCCCAGCAAGCCAGATGCAAATCTTTGTTATAACAATAGCCAATTAGTCTGGCTGAGTAAAACAAAACCCCTGTGTGTTTGAACATTAATGAGCGTGACCAAAGTTCAGCTAATTAAATGCTGATTAAAGCTTTGTGGTCAGTAAGTGCCCTGAGAATAGGGAGGGAGGAGGGGGAAGGGAGGAAGGAAAGAGAAAGGGAAGGAGGAAGGAATAGAGGAGAGTGGAGGGAGAAGGGAAAGAAGGGAGGAGAGTTGAGGGAAGGGAGGGAGGAAGGAAGAGTTGAGGGAATGGAGGAGAGTTGAGGGGAGGAGAGTTGAGGGAAGGAGAGTGGAAGAAAGGGAGGAGATGAGGAAAGGAAGGAGAGTTGAGGGAAGGAAGAGAGGAAGGGAGGAGAGACGAGGGAAGGAAGGAGAGTGGAGGGAGGGAAGGAGAGCACTGTTCCTCTTGTCAGGCCCTTCCCTTTTGGACACTTCCCTCTGGAGAGCCTGTGGGGTGCAGGGCTGTGGGAAACGAGAGCTACGCAGAGATGAACAAAGGGACAAACGAGTGGAAAACCGTCCTGGGGGGAGTCCTGTTCTTCCTGGGGCTAACAGGGCTCATCATCATCTGGCAGAAACATTTCAGTAAGTAAATGCTACGTGGTGGTCAGTTTAAGAGTAAAATGAATGAATGCTTGATGGGAAGTGAGGGAATTTTCTGTCCAGTGCTCTGGGGGGGGCTGAGATGGTGTCTGGAGCAGCCAATCCAGTGACCTCCTGGCAGCTTGTCTCCCAAAACTCCATTTGGAAGTTGTATCTTTGTGGAGATCATAGAATCATGGAATGGTTTGGATTGGAAGGGACCTTCAAGATCATCCAGTCCCACCCCATGCATGGGCAGGGACACCTCCCACCAGTCCAAGTTGCTCCAAGCCCCATCCAACCTGCCCTGGAACACTTCCAGGGATGGGGCAGCCACAGCTTCTCTGGGCAACCTGGGCCAGGGTCTCCCCACCCTTAATAGTGAAGAATTTCCTCCTAATGTCCAGCCTACATCTTCCCTCCTCCAGTTTTAATCCATTCCCCAAATGAGACAGTGTCCATCTTCCGGAAGCTGCTTGTGGGCAAGGGAAGGTGGTGGAGAGAGCTGTGGTGGGAGGGGATGGAGCTGTGGTGCACTGACCCTGGAGCTTCTTCTCCTGATGGAACCTGCTGTCACTAAAGCTCTTTGCTGCATTTGGGTTCCTGCCATGTCTGGCTCCCTTCCCAGCAAACAATCCAACCTGGAGGAAGCTTCTGGCTGCAGTGGAATGAGCTGCTCTCCCTCTCGGGGCTTCATCTCCCCCTGGGGAAAGCTGAGGAGAGAAGGCTTCTCCTTGGGGAAAGTGTCTCCTTGGTTCCCAGTTTGCCCAGTTGGCTGTTGTTGCTCTGCAGTGTATGGCCCCATCCCACACACCTTCTCGGACGAGTGGCTGGCAGCACAGACCAAGAGGATGCTGGACATGAGGATTAACCCTGTGGAGGGCATCTCTGCCCAGTGGGATTTTGAGAAGAACCAGTGGAAGAAATGAAGCAGCTCAGGGGAACCTGCTCTCCTTGAAGATGAAATGATTCCATGGCCTGTGTGCGACCTCGTTGCTCATCTACTGGAACAACCTCTCCACCTGCATAGAAACTAATAAATGTCTGGTGAACTTGAGTGTTGCCTTCAGTTTGCTCTTCAGATACCCTGGGCAGCCCATAGGGACCCCAGGACACCCCAGAGGCCCTGACTAGTCCTGTAGAGACTCCAGGACACCCTAAAGGCCCTCATTAACCCTCTTGGGAGACCCCAGGATGCCCTAGAGGGCCACCACAACACCCCTTGATTCTCTGTAGGGCCTCCAGGACACTCCATTGGCCCTGGTGCTGGCTGGGGGTGATGGCTGGGGTTCCCTGCAGTGTATCGGATCAAGTTCAACGAGAGCTACGCGGAGATGAACAAAGGGACAAACGAGTGGAAAACCGTCCTGGGGGGAGTCCTGTTCTTCCTGGGGCTAACGGGGCTCATCATCATCTGGCAGAAACATTTCAGTAAGTAAATGCTACGTGGTGGTCAGTTTAAGAGTAAAATGAACGAATGCTTGATGGGAAGTGAGGGAATTTTCTGTCCAGTGCTCTGGGGGGGGCTGAGATGGTGTCTGGAGCAGCCAATCCAGTGACCTCCTGGCAGCTTGTCTCCCAAAACTCCATTTGGAAGTTGTATCTTTGTGGAGATCATAGAATCATGGAATGGTTTGGATTGGAAGGGACCTTCAAGATCATCCAGTCCCACCCCATGCATGGGCAGGGACACCTCCCACCAGTCCAAGTTGCTCCAAGCCCCATCCAACCTGCCCTGGAACACTTCCAGGGATGGGGCAGCCACAGCTTCTCTGGGCAACCTGGGCCAGGGTCTCCCCACCCTTAATAGTGAAGAATTTCCTCCTAATGTCCAGCCTACATCTTCCCTCCTCCAGTTTTAATCCATTCCCCAAATGAGACAGTGTCCATCTTCCGGAAGCTGCTTGTGGGCAAGGGAAGGTGGTGGAGAGAGCTGTGGTGGGAGGGGATGGAGCTGTGGTGCACTGACCCTGGAGCTTCTTCTCCTGATGGAACCTGCTGTCACTAAAGCTCTTTGCTGCATTTGGGTTCCTGCCATGTCTGGCTCCCTTCCCAGCAAACAATCCAACCTGGAGGAAGCTTCTGGCTGCAGTGGAATGAGCTGCTCTCCCTCTCGGGGCTCCATCTCCCCCTGGGGAAAGCTGAGGAGAGAAGGCTTCTCCTTGGGGAAAGTGTCTCCTTGGTTCCCAGTTTGCCCAGTTGGCTGTTGTTGCTCTGCAGTGTATGGCCCCATCCCACACACCTTCTCGGACGAGTGGCTGGCAGCACAGACCAAGAGGATGCTGGACATGAGGATTAACCCTGTGGAGGGCATCTCTGCCCAGTGGGATTTTGAGAAGAACCAGTGGAAGAAATGAAGCAGCTCAGGGGAACCTGCTCTCCTTGAAGATGAAATGATTCCATGGCCTGTGTGCGACCTCGTTGCTCATCTACTGGAACAACCTCTCCACCTGCATAGAAACTAATAAATGTCTGGTGAACTTGAGTGTTGCCTTCAGTTTGCTCTTCAGATACCCTGGGCAGCCCATAGGGACCCCAGGACACCCCAGAGGCCCTGACTAGTCCTGTAGAGACTCCAGGACACCCTAAAGGCCCTCATTAACCCTCTTGGGAGACCCCAGGATGCCCTAGAGGGCCACCACAACACCCCTTGATTCTCTGTAGGGCCTCCAGGACACTCCATTGGCCCTAATGAACCTTAGAGAGAGCTCAGCTTGCCCCATAGGGACCCCAAGACCCTCTATAGAAACCTCAGGACACTCCATTGGCCCTAATGAACTTACAGGAACCTCAGGTCACCCCGTGGTCTGTATTGAGCTCTACAGGGCCCCCAGGTCACTCCATAAGGACCCCAGGACCCTCTCAGGTCCCCAGGATGTCTGTTGTGCTGATAATCCATAGGGCAGAGCTTTCCTGGATAGTCCTGTCATGGAGGGAGGGGGGATAATGGGTCAAAGGAAGCATTTCTGGGGCACAGTCCCCAGTCCAGCTGTGCTGAGCTTGGGGCTGCATGGAAGGGAAGCAGATCCCAGCAGGGAGGGGAGGCTCAGTATTCTGTAACTGCTCCCAAAAATCCCAGGTCAGCTCCCTAAAAGGCAAGGGGTGAGTTTTGCAGCCCCTCTGGAGGGGAGATGGGCTCACCCTGAGTGCTCTGCCAGCTGCCCATGGCTCCAGGGAAGTGCCTTGTTTGGAATTCTGTTCTTCCTTGTGACTGGGAGGAATTAACAGGACTGGGAGAGCGATCCTGCTGGGTGCAGGGTTTGTCCCAGCCCCAGGCATCCCAGGTCAGAGCATTGCTGGGATGAGGGAGTCTTTCCTTCCTGGAGCCTCCTCCTCTCCACCCTCCCCCAAAGGCTACAAAAGCCCCAGGGAGCTCGGGAGAGAAACCTGAGCCTTCCCACAGCCCTGGATCCGTATTTCCTCCTCCCCTGCTGGGCACCAGCCACTCTCCTCAGTCTCCTTCACCCACCAGAGAGACCTGCTGGAGCAGCCTGACAGCAGTGAGTGAGCTGAGTTTGCTGGGACTCTGCACATTCCCCTCCTGACCAGTGTTTCTTCTTCATCCCACCCTTGGCAGCAGGATGCAGGGCTGGGATGGGGCAGCTCTCACCACCTTGTCTGGGATGCTGGGGTGTTTATTTGCAGGTAGCCTTGGCAAACGAGGAGCCACTCAGTTCCTGACCCTGGGAAGAGAAAAACACATGGGGAATGGAATGAGCAAGGTACTGTGGGGAGGGGTGGGATGGTGGCCAGCATGTCCTCCTTGGGCAGGACCTTTCTCCTGCAGCCCAGAGGGATGGACACTCATTCCCAGGCCACCACGATGCCCTAGATACAACTGTTTGCATCCTTCCTTGCTCATTCCTCTTTGAAAACTGAGGAAGGGGAAAGCCAACAGTGGTCCCTGGGTTTGTATCTGAGGTGACAAACTGTCTGGGGGGTGCTAAAAAAGTGACAGCTGCCTTTAGATGCTCGTCCCTTGGGTGCTAAGGTGGTGGCATTAGCATCCTCTGGGGGGGGGGTCCCTGCAGGGAAATTTCCTCCCTTATCTCCCCCAGTGGGATGTGTCTGTGCCTGGCAGCCAGGAGCTGCACAGGGGGACATGGGTTTTGCTGCTGCTTGTTGCTCTGCTGAGCTCCTTGTCTGGCAGAGGGGATTGATTTCTGTGTGTGTCCCAAAATAACCACTTGGGTTGTGCCTTTTCAAGCTTAAAATTAGACTATGGGACAGCAACTGAGAGCCCAGGTCAGGGCAAACTCCCTCTGCACGGCTCTGGTGTTGGTTTAACACTGGGGTTTCACCTCCTGTGGGTGCAGCCTGACCTACAAAGGGGCTTTTACAGCCTCCTGGTGCCACCAAACTTTCTTGGAGAGCCTGGGTTGGTGCAGACACATGTTTGTGTTGCAGGATCCAGCTTTGACTTCACAAGTTGTTTGGTTTGGTCCCTTCTAGTGGTCACAGCTTTGCTCCCCTGGGCACAGACATTTGCTGAATCCAGGTGTCTGCACCCCAGGATCAGGTTGGTGTTCAGCTGCAGGTGGGCTGGATGTGACCCAGAGCTGTTGAAAACCCTCCCTACAGCCTCTCAAAACAAGTGTCTTCTGCCAGATGGGTGAGCCCAACTGGGAACCAGCTCCTCCTCTCTGTGCCCCTGGAAACTGCTCTGGTGGGGTCATAAAATACTTGGGAGTTGCCTCTTTTTTTCCCTCCTTCACAGTCCTGCTGCAGTGAATTGGAGACCAAATTTGCATACTTGACAGCACTGACTGCAACATCCTGGCCAGAAAAAAGTATTAAAAATAGCCTGTGCCTTTGCCTGCCCATCCCCAGCTGGCAGGAGGGACCTTTGGAGCTGTTTGCAAGAGGTGGTTGCTAGAGAATAGCAAAACAAAACTGAGCTGTGCCTCCAGAGCCAGGCAGGATGGATCCAGCACCACCTTTCCCACAGCAACAGCACCAAACCCACCCCCCTGCTATTTATGTGCTGAGTTTTCCTGAGCTCTGCACTCCTGGAGGGGTTTGGGTGAGTGCTTGGAGTGGGTTCAGTTTTGGTGCTTGTTCATCAAGGTGGTTCATTAATGAGTTTGTGGTGGGTTGGGGAGTTTGCAGCTGGTCCTGCTGGTACCACCTGCTCAGCTTGATGCTCCCGTGGTGTTGGGTGCACGTTGTCCCTGGTGGCATCTTAAACCTCTGTCCTTTTTGTCACCCCCAGGTTGTCACAGGCCTCTACCTGGGGAACATCCATGGTGAGTCCCTTCCCCTGCTCTACCTCCCTGCTGCTGTGGGGTCCTGGGGCAGGAGGAGCCCCTCAGAGCTTCCCTGTGCCTGCTCCCAGCTGGGGATCTCAGCATCTCCTGGTGATCAAGACCCCTGAAATACTCCCCGTTGCAAGTGACCTGGTGCAGCTGCAGCCCAGGAAAGGGATGTTCACAGGGAGCTGTGCTCACCAGCTGTGCTGGAGCTCTGGGGAACCCTGGCACGGCTGGGGACAACCTGGGTTTGCTGAGACAATCTTTACAGTGAGCCAGCACACCTGCCTTCTCCCTGGGACCTGTGGCCTCGTGGGGAGCAGGGTGAAGCTTGGGTTTCACACAGCAGTGAGGACACCACAGCCTTTTCTACATCAGAGAAAAATCCTGTAGAATCCTAGAAACATAGAACCACTTTGGTAGGAAAAGATCTCTAAGGTGACCAAGTCCAGCCCTTACCCCAGCACTGCCACCCCCACGTCCCTCAGCACCTCCTCTCCTTGGATTTACATCTCCCCAGGGATGGTGACTCCACCACTGCCCTGTCAGCCGGGGCCTGACAACCCTTTTGGGGAAGAAATCATTCCTAATATCCAATCTCAGCCTCCCCTGGCACAACTCCCACCTCTTCCCAATTGTCACTCCTGCTTCCAGACTCGGAGGACCGGGACAGCCTGCACAGGAATGGGGTCACAC